ATGACACATTTGAGATATGGTTGGAGGTTCAATGGAAACGGACTTAAAATATGGTGTTTAAGTGAAAAGTGAGGACAACTTTAAGGGACCGCCGATGTATTTGACCAAAATTATACATCAGTGACTACAGGTTAAATTTATGCCAATAACTTTTCAAGGATTTGTGGAGAAGGTCCAAAATTTCTCCGTGTACTATTCGAAATTGCTCAATTTTCCATCCATTAGATTTTGATCGATTTATACCTAGCCATTAACAAATTGTCTCGTACATGCCCATATCATTAACGGAATTTCAGTATGAAATAAGTGTATTCCACCTGTGCAAAATCTTCGAAATAAATATCTAATTTACCTCCAATTTGTTCCTTAGGTCAAAATTACTTTTCATGTTTGAACCTCCATTAGGAGTTGAGTTTTTCTAACAGCGATGTAAGATTAAATCAAAACTCTAAGGGGTCGGTAGGTTGGAAAGATGTTATCCCGGAATTAATTATCTCGGGATTAGTTATTCCACCTTTCCATGGGGATGAAAAAATACTACAATTCTGGGATAATTAATCCCGAAAGTAATTGCACCGCAATTTTCTCCCAAGCAAACACGGGATAAACTCTTCTTAAATTTAGTCTTGGATTTAATTATTTCTTGTCACTCATACCAAACGAGCCCTAAAGGATGACAAATTTGTTCAATTTTAAATAGAACATGAGCAAGTTTGAACTTATTCACAAAATTTAAATAGAACAATACAAAACACTAGAAAAAGCCTTTTGAAGAACTTTCTTGTGACCCCAGGACAATAAGCCACATCCCACATTAATTCCAAATAATAATATATCCAAGAACCCTACAACACCTTTCGTCTCCGTTTCCGCCTCCCTAGGGTTCCACACACTAGAAAAATATGATTTGAATGATCATGGTTTTCTCTATATTATATTACCATGATTATGTGATAATATGTAACACAGAACTAAAAGCTTACTTTTGATGATTTGACCACTCATTCTCTTCTGTGTCTCCTCTTTGCAGAAAAATGAATTCAAGTCAGTGAAAGAAAACATCTCAGTAGTGTCAACACAGATCCAGCATTACTTTACCGTCGTATTTTGTCCTTTCCTAGATTTTTAACTTTCTTTTTTGGCTGATTTAGTTAGATCCATTCACTTCTTTTGCACGAATTCCCACACAATTCTTGATTTTAGAAATTTTATTTTTCACTTAGAACCCTAGTAACGTTGCTTTGAAAAGATAGTTGCCATTTCCTGTTCACTGATTGTGTAGCTGTTTTCCCATTTAAGGACCATCCATGTCCATCACAGTTATTTTAAGTTTTTCAACAAGTTCCTTAAAATTCTTGATGTGCTTCTTCAATCATTCTGACTGTGCTAGTCTGCGTCACTATATATTTTTTTGAGTGCTAAATGTGGAGTGCGAAACATTTCTAATGTTTTTTTGGACAAAAAACACGTTTTTACTACTTAAAAAAAAAGTTACTTAAATACATAATTCGCAGTACTATACTGCGAATTACTTTAATGGAATTTTGGCCGTTAAAGTAATTCGCAGTAAAGTACTGCGAATTAGTTAAAAAAATAGTGATTCTCAGTATTGTACTGCGTATTATTAAAAAAATAATTTTTTTTAGCTAATTCGCAGTATTGTATTGCGAATTACTAATTTGGCCCCACCAATAATTAACTGACATAACAATAATTCAAACACATAAAACGTATTATTGTACTGCGAATTTCTTAAAAAAATTCTGCACCCCAGGCTCGGACTTGCTTTATTTAAAGGCGTTTCAGTTAAATGAAAATTCATTCAATACAAACATTTAACTTCCGTTCATACTTCTCTCTTCTTCTTATCAATTATTTTTGTACAATGTCTGAAGAGCCAAAAATAAAGGTTTCATTATATTGTGAGGGGGGGGGGGGGGGATGGGTGAGGTTGTGCTGGAGAATAACTCTGTGAGGTATAGCTCACCTCCACAGTGTCATGTTAAATTGCCGCTTACTATGGAGTATGATAAATTGGTTTCGTTGTTATGTAAAAAAATGAGTGTGAGGAAGCGTTCGGTTAACCTTAAAGTAACCGGTAGGTTTTCGCATTCAGTGACTCCGCAGGGGTTTGCTTATTATTCTGAGTTTAACATCGAGGATGATGAAACTCTTAGAGATTTTTTGCGGATTCCGGATGAATACAGGAAATTTATTGTAATAAAATTATTGGAAATGTACGTCAAGGTGGAAGACGTTCCCAATAATGAGGGCGTGCATAGTAGGGATAACCTCCAGTCATCGGGTGGTTATTCTGGAGCAGTTTTTGCCGGACAGATTGCTGATGAAAGAGCTTGCCTTGATTTAAACTTGTCACCACCGGCGAATGAGCAGCCACAAAATAATTTTTCGACTTTATATAATCCAAAAGACGACTGGTAAACTTCAATATTACTACGCTTTAGCGATGTTTATTTTATGTTTTAATTGGATTTGTATTAACACTTATATTTTTCATAGGGGGTACCGTCCGGATATGAATTTTACAAGTTATGACCCCGTCCCTATTTGGAATATGCGTAGTTCTGGAGTATTGGAGCACGGGGGTCCATCCGGGAGTCATCACCAATAAGAAAATATCCATCATGAAACGTCAAGGCAGTGCGACTTGTAAGTAAATTGATATAGCTATATCTGAAGTATTTATGCAGTTGGGTAACTTATCATTTTGTTCTTTTTGTGCAGTGAAAACGAGCTTCTTGATGTTCCTGACCTCACACAGTTGCCCATAGACGACGTATTGACTCGTGATTTGGCTGATGCGCAGAGTCAGGAAGATGATAGTGATTATGACAACAATGCAGATGAGTCTGGGGATGACACACCCTTCCATGATGAGGGTGATGATGAGGAGGAAGTGAATGTTGAACCTGAGCTGACGAGGGAGCATGTTCCTCCACCTCCCGCTAGACAAAGAGTGTACGAGTCCCACGTGTCATTTCATGAGCGGAATATTCCCTACCTTGATAATTTGCCAAGTATGCCGAACGTGGATGCCCTCACAAGGGATGATGACGAAATTCGGTCAGCGATGTGGGATGAGTCTAGACCAGCTGTTCTGACAAAGGGCATGTATTTCCCCGATAAAGCTCGCCTAATTAGGGCTGTAAAAATCTACAGTATAAGAGCGTGCCGTGAGATGACGGTAAGTGAGTCAACTACGGAGGTATACAAGGCTGTATGCCGTAGGTGGTTTATGGGTTGTCACTGGATGTTGCGTGCCAGCAAGAAGAAATCAGGTTCGTGGAAAGTGGGTAAGTTTATTAGCGAGCACAGATGTGAAATGGACACATTCAATGAGAATCACTTCAACTTGGATGTGGACTTGATTTCTCTTGTCTTGATTCCATATTTGGAAGTGTCCATTAGGTTCAAGATTAAAGAGTGTATTACAGCCTTCTACCAGGAGTATGGTTGTACTATAACCAAAAGAAAGGCATATCTCGGTCGCAAACATGCCTTTGAACTTATTTATGGCGACTGGGATAAGTCTTTTTCAAATCTACCCAGGTACATGGCCGCACTGCAATACTTTAACCCCGGCACTGTTGTTGAATGGAGGCGTGAGCGGAGTCCGGACAGACCCGAATATATTTTCAACTATGTGTTCTGGTCATTTAAAGCAGCAATTGATGGTTTTGTGCATTGTCGTCCTGTAATTTCCATAGACGGTACTCATGTCTATGGAAAGTATGATATTAAGCTTTTGATTGCAGTTGCAGTTGATGCCAACGGACAAATATTTCCACTAGCTTTTGCCATATGTGCCAACGAAAGCGAAGAGACGTGGACGCTTTTTTTGAACCACTTGAAGCAGCACGTGGCATGGTGGTATTTTAAGTTCTGTACGTCACTTGCCTGAATGGCAGGAACCATATGCATACCACCGTTACTGTGTGAGGCACCTGAAGGCCAATTTCCAGAAGAAATTTCCTCACAAGGCCTTGCATGACTTAATGTGGATGGCTGCAACTGAGCACCAGCAGTGCAAATTCATGAGGCGCATGGAAGCGATCCGGCAGATAGATCCACGAGCCTATACTTGGTTGATGCGACATGAGCTTCACATGTGGACATTGCATGCTGATGGCGGCAGACGATGGGGAGCCCTCACTACAAACGTGTCAGAGTCATTCAACGGCTTGTTGAAGTCTGCCCCGTGGACTGCCTGTCACTGCCATGGTCCGCATGACATTTAAACAGAGTGTGGAGAGGTTTGTTGAAAGGCATGCAGCTGCATCGGCATTGATGGACAGGGGTGTTCAATTTATGCCAATACCCATGAGAAGATTTGAAAGGTCCAGGAGGCGAGCACAGTGGCATTCATTTCTTCAGTACGATCATGAACGGGGTGTTTTTGAAGTTAAGACCGCTATCCGCTGACACCGTAGGAATAATCTACAGACGGTGAATGAAAATAGAAGGTTATGTTCATGTGGTAAATGGACCATCTACCACATGTCGTGCGCACATGCATTGAAGTGCTTTCAACAGGTTGGATATGGGGCAACAAACTATATTGATAGGCAATACAGTGTTGCTGCATACGTAGACACGTATAGTGAGAAGTTACAGCCATTAGGTGCTGAGCATTATTTGCCGCCGGAACCTTTTAAGATGGTATGTAACAAGGACTATTTGCGCAAGCTGTAAGTGCAAAAGAGAACGCGTATACAGAACCAAATGGAAATTGGTGACACCGTTTATGCGCGTAAACGTGGCATACTCGCAAACAGGACACGACCGTCGTAAATGTCCTTCAGGTGGCGTGCGTGGTGGTGGTAATCCGGCTCCTGGTGCAAGTTCGTCGAATGTACCCAACAATCAAGGATACCCCTAGTCTTTTGTTTTGGTATTCTTTTTTGTAATACGTGTTTGTACTGGGGACCACCTCCACGCTGTCCCCCACGACCCCCGCAACCCCGTGGGGCACCCCTGCCTCATGGGGCACCCCTCCCTCGTGCCCTACCCCTGCCTCGTGGGACACCCCTACCCCGATGGTAGTCCTCTGGCGCCGCATACTGAGCCTCGTGGTCCAACCTCGCGGCATCTCTCGCCTGAAGCAGGGTCCGACGAGCCACCTGTGCCATCCGCCGGCCATAGTCAACGAGTGCAGGATTGTCGGCATACTGCTGCATCTCCTGAGCCATCTGGTAGAGGTAATGACGCCCAATAGCCAGTGAAACATTTAAAATATTAATTAAATAACGCTATATCATAATTATAAAATATTAATAAGCCACAAAAATATACCAGTGCCTCGTGCCTCCCGGCGTATGGTCTGTAGCGATCGCCAAGTACATGAATGGGGTTCCCGATCATCAGTCGGGTGTGACGGCGGTACCATGACGTATACAGATGAATAGTGGCCTCCTGGGTAAATGTAGGTGGTGGCGGAATACGGTGACCTCGCTCCTCCCAAGTATGGACCTGCTGCTCTAGCCATCCCATATATATAACGTCCACCCTGGCACGGTCGTCCCGCTGATAGTGTGTAGCCTCCCATCCAGGCTCCCCCGGTATAGGCTGGGGACGGTGAAACTGGCGAAGCACACGCTCTGTGGCATGACACTCAACCATATCGAAGAAGATCATCGGGACGGAGGTGCTCCAAAGCAGTCTGTCGACTGAGCAAATATCGGGCAGCTGAGCTAGCAACTCGTCGCTGTATGGCGTCCAGATGAACTACCAAATAATAACATAAAAGTGAGTATACGCAACACAACTCAATTACTAATTCGCAAGTGTAGGTACATATTTACCTGTCCGTCCACCAGCATATCTAACACATCCCTGACAAGGGGGAGATTATGATGAGCATCGCTCCCTCGGTAGTTCCCACGCCAAAGAATCCACCTAGAAGCTAGAGGGAGAAACGGATAAGCCTCACCGGGCGCAAGTGGTGGTAGAGCTGGCTGCAACGGCATGATCCGCTGCCAGGCCCAAACCTAAGATAAAAGGTTGATGTAAAATTTATGAGTCATTGCGACCATATAGAATTCAGAGTAATGCACAGAGTATTCGAAAATGTTGTCACCTGTAAGAGGGGAAGAAAACCACATATGTCCACCGCTGGGCCCATGCTCGCCGGCACATGCTCCTATATAGGTATGCGAGAACAGCAGCACCCCAGCTGTACTGGGGTAAATCATCCAGCCGCTGAAGATGATGGAGAAAGCGCATACTCACAGTACTCCCCGAAGTGTTCGTGAACAAGGCACACCCGAAAAGCAGGAGCAGCGCCAACCGCGTGTACCTCTTAATGTGGAGATCCTCCGTCTCGCCGGTAATGTCAGGGTGCAAAAACGCCATATGATCTCTGATGGCTGACAAAAGAACGCGACTGCCCCTAGCGCCACCCTGAGGTCTATAACCAGTAAACTGCCCCATCATATCCAAAAACTGTGCACGCGTCATGGATCTAATGTACTGGGGCAGTGCCACGGCCCGTCCATCTACGCGCAACCCGTACAAAACCTGAACATCCTCCAGCGTGATGGTGGCCTCTCCAGTGGGCAAGTGAAAAGTGTGCGTCTCCGGTCGTCACCACTCTACCAACGCCGTGATAAGAGACCAATCAAGCTGTATCCGTCCAAGCTCAAAAATTGTATAGAAGCCCGTAGCCTGTAGGCGCGCGACTACGCGGGCATGGAAAGGATGCTCCACGATGAACTCCCACAAATGATCAGGTCTCCTGGGGCGGAGAGCTTGCTCCGATAGCTGTCCCTCCCATACATAGGAGGACCTATAGTCGCCCTGCAACACTAACAGCTGATCCTTGGCAGGTCCAGGATGCGCATGCGGAGGAAAGGCCATGTTCTCTACTATAATTTAAACAAAATTAATTGTGTGTGTTAGTTAGAAAATTAAATAATTATTTTTAATATTGGACTGAGTATTATCTATGGGTTCGAGGCTCGATATTTGAGGCCCGGTAGCACCAAGCTATCCTTAATTATTATGTGTGTCATTTTCAACATTTTTTAAAATTTGTTTGTTTAATAAATTAAATTAAAAATTCTTGAATTGGACTTAATAATTATGTATGCCCTTCCAGGCTCGATATTTGAGGCCCGGTAGCACCAAGCTATACTTAATTATTATGTGTGTCATTTTCAATATTTTTTAGAAATTTGTTAGTTTAATTAATTAAATTAAAAATTCTTGAATTGGACTTAATAATTATGAATGGCTTCCAGGCTCGATATTTGAGGCCCGGTAGCACCAAGCTATACTTAATTATTATGTGTGTCATTTCAAATATTTTTTAGAAATTTATTTGTTTAATAAATTAAATTAAAAATTCTTGAATTGGACTTAATAATTATGTATGGCCTTCCAGGCTCGATATTTGAGGCCCGGTCGCACCAAGTTATCCTTAATTATTATGCGTGTGAATTTCAGTTACCGATGGAATTTTGTTAGATTAAAGAATTAAATTAAAAATTATTGAATTGGACTGAATAATTATGTATGGGTTCCCACGCTCGATAATTGACCCCCGGTAGCACCAACTTATCCTTAATTATTATGCGTGTCAATTTCAGCATTTTTACAATTTTGTTAATTTAATAAATTAAATAATTAATTAGTGAATTGGACTGAGTAATTATCTATGAGTTCCGGGCTCGATATTTGAGTTATTTGACAACATATATTAATTTGTTACTTTTTAAGTTTATTTTTATAAATTAAATAATTAATTTTGAAAGTGTTATTGGATAGAGTTTCCAGTTACTACATACTTAAGGCTTTATATTTTACTAGTTGAAAAAGGCTCTATATTTTGCACTCTACGCTAAAAGGCTCTATATTTTACTAAGCTTAAAGGGTCTATATTTTACTACGCTAAAAGGCTCTATATTTTACTACGCTAAAAGGCTCTATATTTTACTACGCTAAAAGGTCACTATTACATATAAAAACAACAAATATAACATACAAATATGAACAACAAACTAAATAAATAATATTTATTTATTATTTAACCAAATAAAAACATAACATTAACTATACAAATTATTTATCAAATTTTAATATTTTTTTGTCCCAAAGCTAATAAATCAATCCGGGTATAAACAAGATACAAATTTAAATACAAACATAACACAAATTAACATGGAAACACATTAAACAATACAAATATGCATGTACTATACGAGTGTCGACATAAACAAAATCGAAATACCTCGATTTAAGTTTTTTGAATTTGATTGAAATCGAATTTTTGCACCCGAAAGAAGGAATCCAAAGCTTGTCTTGTGTGTGGGACCTACACTCTTTGCTTTTTAGGTGACGGGTGGGGCCCGATTTTTTTTTTAAATTTGACGAAGGGTGGGGGGACCAGGACTGTGGAGGAGTTTTTTTTTTAATGGGGGGCAGCGAACTATGTTGGGGAAGAAGAAGAACGGTTTATTTTATTAAGGCAATTCGCAGTACTATACTGCGAATTGCTTATACGCAGTAAAGTACTGCGAATCGCTGGGCCCAAAAATCGGAGTAACTCAATTCGCAGTATTGTACTGCGAATTAGTTAAAAAAAATTTTTTTTAACAAATTCGCAGTACTTTACTGCGAATTACTTTAACGGCTAAAATTCCGTTAAAGTAATTCGCAGTATAGTACTGCGAATTATGTATTTAGGTAACTTTTTTTTAGTAGTAAAAACATGTTTTTTGTCCAAAAAATATTAGAAAAGTTTCGGACTCGCTAAATGTGCTTAGTTAAGTGAAAATAATCTAAGTACTTCTTTGGACATTGAAATAGCATCAATTGGTTAGACAATATATCTCTTTAATCATTTGATAATTCGATTACAATTGGTGGGACTTTATCTGTCACGACCCAATTTCAATTATAGGCCGTGATGACGCCTAACGTCGCCGTTAGGCAAGCCAATGGTGAACTGCCCATTTAATTGCTCATTTTAATATTTTTAAAATCTTTAAGGAAACAAGTAAGTGAACATAGCAATGTAAAGCATAAACTAAACATGAAAGTAAGATAGTGAATTAAATAATCAAAACCCATGAGTGTTTACTAGAATTCCCAAAACTCGGTATCACAAGTGCACGAGCTTCTAGTAGAATATACAAAAATCTCTAAGAACTACTGTCTGAAACAGAATAGACAAATATGATACTACCTCTATTCCAGTTTATGTGAACCTATTTCCTTTTTGGTCCGTTCCAAAAAGAATGACCCCTTTCTAAATTTGGTAATAATTTAGCTTAAACTTACAATTCTACCCTTAATGAGAAGCTTTTATAACAACACAAATAATCTGGGGCCCTTTTTAACTTGTTTCGGACTACAAATTTCAAAAGTCTTCATTTTTTCTAAACCTCCGTGCCCAGTCGAACAGGTTCAAATAAATTGAGTTCAAAGAGTGCAAGTAATAGCATAATAAAAGCCTATGTCTACCCGGGCATAACATGAATTTTAGCTATGCATGGACTTTCGTCACTTCGTGCGTACATAACACCCACAATTAGCAGCAAATAACAATTTAAATACCTATGGAATTAATTCTTTCTTACAAGGTTAGGCAAAAGACTTACCTCGTTTTCAAGTCCGCTTTCCGGTCCACAAATCACTCTAAAAGCCTCAAGTCGGTGCCGAAAAATCCGAAACTAGCCAAAGGTTGTACAAACTAATCAATAATTGCTCAAAAGTTCATAATTTAACTATTAAAGTGATTACCCAACCCAATTTGAAAGGTTCCTAAAATTCACCCCCGGGCCCATGTGCGCGAATCTAGCTCACCGAGGATATGACCTTTGGTAGAAAGGTATGGAGGGAGAGCATTAGTGTTGAAGGTTAGTAGGTAGTTGAGTATTTTTCTACTCCATTCTGTGTGTAAGTCTAGTCGGTCTGTGTCGTGTTTTAGTATGCTAGTGGTACATGTTGTGCTCGTACTTTTTTCTAGGAGTTTGTTACTGCAGTGATTATTGATATTACTTTTCCAGGTATATTTACTGATTCTTAGCTCGCTGGTACAATCTTTCTGGTTATGTTGTTATTATTCTATTTTTGCATTTCATCTTCTTGTGGCGACGGTCTATCGGAAACAACCTTTCTACCCCATGGTAGGGGTAAGGTCTGCGTACACACTACCTCCCCAGACCCCACTTGTGGAATTATACTAGGTTGTCGTTATTATTTTTGTTGTTGTTCAACAACTCCTAAAATTTCCACATTTTTCATGTTAGAATCTACCTATAATTTATGTATTTAACTTACATTGTATAGAAATCACTTACCTTCAATAGCTAGGTGAAAACCCCTCTGAAAGAAGCTCTAAAATCGTCCAACAAATGAGAGAAATGAACCAAATAGCCAATTTTCCGACTTTAATAAATTTATGCACATCTGCCCCTTCTTCACAATCGGGAAAAAGGCAACGCGATTGCGAAGGCAAAGCCTGCCCAGGCCTTGAAACTCTTTAACGCGAACGCGATAAGGTCCTCATGATCGTGAAGGCTAGACCAGCTCAAGCATCAAGAACGCGAACCGCCCTTCACGAACGCGAAGAGTAATGACACACAGACCCCTGGCCCCATAACCCTTTTACGCGAACGCGACCAGGCCATCGCGAACACGAAGACCACATGTCCTGAAGCTTCGCGAACACAAAGAGCAAAAGCACCCAGTCCCCAAATCCTTCATCGTGAACGCGAGAGTCCCGCGTTTGCGAAGAAGGAAACCGGAACCATCACATCTGTAGTTTTGGACTTAGCTCCGTGCTGTCCGAAATGCACCCGAGCCCCCCAAGGACCCCGTCTAAATACACCAACAAATCATAGCCATAATACGGACCTACTCGAACCATCAAAACACATAAAACATATAGAAACTAAAAATTACACCTCTAAACCAAATTGAATCAGCTTATGAACTTCAAACATCTTAACTAGCTCCGAACATGCCGAATCAAACGTAGACTACTCGGAATCACCCAAATTTTGCGTAAAAGTCATAAATCACCATAGGAAATTATTCCATGGCTCGGAATTCCAAATAGACCTCGATAACACCAAAGTCTACTCCAAATCAAATTTAAAGAACTAGAAAACCTTCAATGAAACAACATTCAACATTAAGCGCTGAAATGCTTCCGGATCTCCCGAACCCGATCCGAACACATGTCCAAGTCCAAAATTGTCATATGATCCTATTAGAACCATCAAATCCTGGTTCTGAGGTCGTTTACTCAAAATATTGACTCAAGTCAAATTGACCATCATAGGCCACTAATATTGAACTAAGTATTCCGATTCCAACCCGAACCCTTCTAAACCTAAACCAACCATTCCCTCAAGTCATAAAATAGTAACATCACATACGAGGAGTCTTAACTAGGGGAACGAGGACCTAGAAAATAAAACGACTGGTCGGATCGTTACATTATTTGTTTC